GTCTTTAAGATTACCCGCTGTTGCCAAAGACACACCCTTCGCATCTATCCCCGCTGCAGTTGTGGCTATAGCCTCAGCTCTTAGACAGCCTAGAGTAGCGCTTTAGCCTCCGCCACTCTTGGCATAATTAAAGGCTTCTCTACAAGACATGTTTAGGTATAGCCTATGACTGTAGGCTGTAACTTTTGTTCTTGTGAGAATATGGAGGTTGGTTATGAGGGAATTCAGAAGAGGTTTACAGCGTGTTTGACAGATGGTACTGGATATTTCAGGCGGTGATGTAAAATGACGTCATACGACTGTACGGAGTTGTTCTTGTTGATAAGAAGGTTTATATCTGGGGGCACGGCAGTGCCCCCACCAATTCGAGCAAAAAAGCGGCACGGCCGTACCATCCTTTTCTCGAAGCAATTCAGGCCATTTTCGACCGCCTGTAACTTCATTGTGGATAAAACTAGAAGGCTGAATTTTCATTAGCTATGCAGGCATTGTAAAGACACGGTATGTTTAAAATTTCATTCAATTTGAACCAGTAGTTTAAGAATTATAACGGGTCAAAGTTACTTAATTTTGTCACTCACTGACTGACTCACTGACTCACCGATCATCAAAACTCTAAGGCACTTCTAGCAGACTTAGAAGCTTCAAATTTGGAATATAAGTAGTGTTTGGTGTATGAATCAAGGAAAAACTAAAATATTTGGGGGCACGGTAGTGCAACCGCCAAGTCGAGTAAAATTTTTCAATTTCGGTCCAGTTTTCTAGATACATAACTGCTGTCTACAAAATACAAAAAGAAATGAGATCCCATCAAAAACAATACTTGTCAAAAAAACCAAGTCTCGCAACTCAGTTGTTCTACGGTAAAAAGTTGTGAGATCCATGTAATACCAAGTCCAGGCCAGGAAATCTTTAACGTTTTACATAAATATATTGACTTGGCCATCGCATGAAAACACGTGTAAATTAAATTATTTAGTGCGATGGCCAAGTCAATAATTTATGTAAAACGTTAAAGATTTCCTGGCCTGGACTTGGTATTACATGGATCTCACAACTTTTTACCGTAGAACAACTGAGTTGCGAGACTTGGTTTTTTTGACAAGTATTGTTTTTGATGGGATTATGTTTACTTGTCCCGAAGTACTTAGTCCTGAAAAGGGCCATACTGAATAAAAATGTGATTTTGATTTTCAATTTTGATGTCCTAATCTCACTTGTTAATTTTTATGTAAACGACAGTCATGGCAATCATATTACAAAATAATCGTATGCAAATACTTAAATGCATTTAATATCTTACTTTTAATTAGTACCTAATTGGTATTGTTATTACAGCTAATATCCCTTGATGCCATTTCAAAACATTGCTCTATTTTTAGAAAACCTTATTACTTTCAGTGTGACCATAATAAAACTAACTGCCATACCGTCATTATAACAACAATGCAAAAGTAACTGTGTAATATCGCGTATAATGTTATTTAACTCAATCACCTACATTGTCGTAGCCAATAAAATAAAACTAACCAGTACCGGGCTGACAAGTTAATTCACTTCAAAAATAAACTATAGGGCCGGTTGCACTGTTACTTGGTTAAAAGTTAACGAGACGTTAAGAGAAAGAACACTTATTGAAGTCTTATTATTGCAAAAATAGCTAAGTAACGAACTAAGCCTTTAGAGTTTTGTTACATTGCTGCAATTTATTTTGCAGTTGAATTAAAATTCTTAAGTGGATTAGTTTGTTTTTGTTAGTATCTAGTTAGTAGCTCTTTAATTTATTGCACCAATAAAAGAGTTTGAAGTTAGTTAAACGTAGGTTGAATTTAGCTTAAATCACCTCTTGTATAGCTAAATGTAGTAGGTACTTCTTTCCATGTTTCAATTTGTCTTTGGTTAGTTAATAAGACTTTTTTATAAATATGATGGTTTTTCATTACACTGCCTCACTCTGAGCAAACGGTTCGATAGAAATTACTTTATTCAATTCCAAAAATCTCTAGGTGTTAACGATTTTTTTTAAATACCTACTTACATTCTAACTCACTGGTGAAAAGGTCGCGGGAGGTGTCTGGATGCGGACGCAGGGCCGATCGTATGCAAATCCTTGAGGGAGGCCTTTGTCCAGCAGTGGACGTAATTTGGCTGAAACCAACGATTCTAACTAAACGATAATTTAACTACTGGTGGTACTAAACCAGTCACAGTGCAATTCAAAATCGAACCTCGTTATTTCGCCGGCGCATATATGGCGACATCAATTTACTTATCAACCGTTTGATCTAAACCAAGATGGATTGACGTGTAGTGCGAAAGGGAATGCCTAATAAATAACCGAGGTATTTGATTAATGGTTTGCTGTAAAACGCTAAATGCCAGTCGGTTATGTGGTTTTAATTTAAAGGTATTTTGTAACACTAATGCTAAGTGGCTAATGATCATTGAACAGGCTTTTCGATGTACTGGAATTTCTGAACACAAATTCTCATGTTAAGTTAAAGACCTGATAAATTATTCGAAGTGTAGCCGGCTCCCAAATATTTCTTAGTGTTTTAATGACCAGTTTTTAGTTAAATGAAGGTAGGTAAAGTCCGTAATTCTTATTTCTTTCTCATAAAGTGAGCTAATGAATGTCAAATTAAGTTAGTATTTTACAAGTTTACGAAATTAAGAAATTTTACCGCCTCTGTGCTCTAAGTCTAGTGGTAAGACCCCCGCTTCAGTCGCAAAGGTTCCGGGTTCGATTGCCAGTGGGGGCAGATTTTTCTGTTCGGTTTGGTTGGTGGTAGGGCTTGTTCTAAGTCAGCTTGGCTAGCTACCACCATCTTACCACCTAAGTCCGTCGCCATAACAACAATGTTAACAGCATTGTTAAACTGAACTAACTTAATTAAAAACTTAAAAGTGCTTCAAATCGATCAATGTCGCCCAGTTTTAACCTCGATTAAGGATATTTTATTTTTCTGTTAAGTTCTTTATAGCTTGTACCATTAAAATGATAAAAATCTTATATTATTTTTCATCGGTCCTTTAGAATTTGCCCACTTTCTCTAAAAACGTAACCCTTCTCATCTCAATCGCAGTAGAAACTACAGGAGTTAATTTTAATCATTTAATGAAGTAGACAAACGGGTTGGATCCTCGGTAAACACGTCGTCCCGTTTTAATCTGTGTTTACAATGTTTTCACTTTAAAATAGCCACTGGTACGCTTATACTACTCGTAGCCGTATATCCTATGTTTGTGTTTCTTAAGCTGTTAAAGGGCAGCCCTAATGGTAAGTAATTGGTAATTATTGAGTATGACTTTCTGTTATGAAGGGTCTAGCATGAGCTTTTTTAAGTAAAGCTTACAAGATCATTATTTTGTTACTTACTAAAATCATAAGAAGCACAAAATAACTAATATTATTACAGTTTATACAGCGGTTAGCAGATTTTCTTATAAATAAAATCAAATCAAATATATTTATTTTGCGAACATGTATGCATAACATTTTGTTACAAGTATTTTAGTATCTCCATCTTCCACCTTTTGGCATGCAAAATAAATCAAACTTATTAATTTTCATTTAAATAAAAACTAATGTTCACTTAAATAATGTCAGATTAAGTTAAGTACTTTTAAGTTACTAAAATATCATTTTTTGGTGGCGCCAATCACCTCACGTCAGCCTCTTAAGTCCGATCATTACAAAATCTTGGATTTTTTGTAAATGAATTCCTACCAGCTTCCCCTTAACGTTACCTGGAAGTTGTTCGGTTTTATTACATTCCGCGGCTACTGTGATAACAGCTGATAACAGAGTGATTAACGCGCGCGGTGGGAAGTGGGAAGTGGGGACAGTCGACAAATATTGTTGTAGCTTTGTCAATATTTGGGTGGTAAAAGTTTTAACGTAGTGACGTTGAACCTGTTTTGATTGGTAATAATAATAAGTCGTTAGTGTATTATAATTCTATTAATAAAAACAAAAACATAATAAACTTACAAAAAATTTATGGCTATGTAATGGATAGTTTGTAAACCTATTTGAAATAAATAAATGAAAAATCATATACCATAAAATCTCCAACATAAAATTAATTAATCCTAAACTAATATAACTAAGTAAAATGTTTTTTAACCAAAATGCAATACATTATTTTGCGGGATTCGAATCAGCAATTGCACTGTAAGTGAAAAAGAGGTTCAGCAAGCCATTGACTATTTTATTGTAATTGACCCACATAGTGTCAAATATCAAAACATCTCGCTTATCTACATCTACGATAGATAAACATTACACAAAACAATAAATAGTAAGAAGGCAAGAAACTGTACAATTTGATAAGTTTCCGTACGCATCGGTGCAAAAATCTGGCAATCGAGAGATATCTCGCCGCCTATACATAGAAGTGCTCGAAGATTAGAACCGGAGCTAAGCTAACGTGTAACTAATACCGCGTAAGTTTAAGGCCGCCCTTGGAACATGCGCTTGCGTCCGTCGCAGCCGCGCGGGCGAGCGTCCGCCGCGCACATTACAAGGGTCGAACCACAACGATCGCGTGACGTCACGGCCTGTAGACCACCTAACTAAAGCTAGAGATCTAAATACAGAATGTGGCATCACACTAAAGAATACACTTCCAACAGAACGACTGAGTCGGCCGTATATATACTTAGCGGGGTAAAAAACTTCGTCACCGCGGTTTAGGTAATACAGGTATTTTTACAGGTTCTTATTAGAATTTTTGAGAAAATTCTTATTGGATTACTAAAACTATCTTTTATTCTGCTTACTACATAAAAATAATTTCCAAAAAATATATATTTCACTAATAATTTGGCCAGAAAAGGGAAATTTACTGGCCGAGGTGTGCAGAAACTTGTACAGCGCCATCTATGAAACGCGATGTAAACTAATGGCCATCCATACTTTTAACTTTGGCTCTTGATGTTCCATTCTAAATTCAAAACTTAAAACAAAAAATATTTTTGGTTTCTTTAATGTTAAAATGAGGTTTGTTGCAATTAATTAATTATTAATAAATGAGATTTTAAAACAATTTGGTGGTTTTATTGCTATCATAATTTTGACTGAGAATAATGTTGTTTCGTTAACATTTCAATACTTATAAAAATAAATACCTATTGACCAGAAAAAAATGCACAATCAAACCACTTCTTATTTTATTAAATTAATTATTTATTTAGTATTCAAATAAAACTAATTACTAAATTTTGAGTTAAAAAAACATAAAATAATATTGTTTTTCATTTGTTCCAGGATATCCAACAACGAAAGGGATGAGAGTCCGGGCACAGACGGCAACGTCTCCCCAGAGCCACCTGACAGGCCACCCGGGAAGGTTCGTCAAGTCCACCCCGAAGACAAAACGCAGGTCCTAGCCTACGACTCCACATATCGGAAGAAGAACAAACCAAAATCCCTGCCACTAGAAGTGCATTACAACCATTTAGCAAATACAAACGTTGCTTTGTCGCCCGTGTACCCGTTAACGCCAAACATCTGTGTTGAAGGCGGGAAGATTGAGTTCATCAAGTCGCCGCCAGATAGCGCGCGGAACAGCGTGGCGCTAGCATCGCCGCCTCAAACGCCTCTGGTGGCGAGGCGCGGATCTAGGGATAAGCGCGAAGTTCGTGTGTACGACGAACCGACGGAGAAGTTCGACGGTGATAAGGTAGGTGGCGCTTTTTGTACAATAGTTCGTACAATATCCGCTGAGTCGGCAACAGCGCTGCGTGGCTAGTTACCTGACTGCGCCAGAAGGAGGGTTGTGTTTTTTATCAACATACGAGTAGGTTCTTACTAAATTTTCTCTTCGGTACTAACATAAATAAAAATGACAAAATTTTACTACCAACCTAATGCAGTTGGTTTAGTTATCAACTTCGTCATCTTTTAAAAAAAAACATTAGTAAAATGTAAGTAAACGCAAGTGTATGTTGTTAAAATAATCTTTCCGTATTAGGTAATGTTATGTAGTAAAAAAAACTTTTTCCAACTTAAACAGGACCTTTAAAAATAAAGCGTCCAAAATATCTTATTCCTTTTCAATTTGCAGGAACAAAGTTTGCCCCAAAACTGACCCTTGTCAAAACCATTCCTAACTTTGCATTTTGTTTCTGTTAAATCTTTTTTTCACGGTATTTTTCTTTCACTGTGTTTTTATTAAAACTAATATAAAAGAAAAAGTTTTATAGGGAAAAACATGAAGGAACGGTAACGGGGCGGATTAAAACCTCTTAGGTAAGTCTATAAGATAGCGTGTAAATAAATAAACTCAAAAAACCTCATAAAAAAGTAAATAAATAATTTATTTTTTGCAAGCGCTTTTGCACTACCCCAAAAAAGTATATCAGTCTGGCCATCACACCCCTTCAGGGCAACAAAAATAAAGTAGTAGGTTATTGATGATCAGTAAATTAAACACTAAAATGTAGACATTAAAAATAGTAAAAAAGTACCTCCTCCTTTTTGAGGTCGGTTAAAAACTTACAACCTCAGTTCACCGGCTTACATCACTCATACTCGTCTCAGTACATTTTCCCCATGTTTTTCTCTCCTGGGACTCCAGTAATTGGGCAGATGCACCTTAATACGTCTTTAGTCGCTTAGATTGTTCCCAAATCCTCTGTGATGGGTGTTTTGAAGATTGTCCCAAGAAAGATTTGGGGCTCAATCTCTTTGGGGCTTATTCGAATCTTGACGACATAATGATTGCGAATTTTAGTCAATTTTGTATTCTTTTCAGTTTATTGGGAGTTGCTTTTAAACAATTTATTATAGCATACTTCGCTCTTCCTGTGACAGGAATTTCTGAATTTTAATAGAATAGGTAAACTGTGACATAAGATACTTATGCCCGTTTTCACCATCAATTCCTAATTTTTAAGTGACCCCTGTGGTAACACATGACAGGAATTTTGTTTTCATAGGGGTCACTTAAAAATTAGGGATTGATAGTGAAAACGTTCATTGATTTACGCAACCGACACTAATATCCGCCGGTTTTCTTTCACCTTATTGTCACTTCTAAACAAAGGCAGAATGTATTACAGCAAAAGTACTTTAAAAACTCTCAAGTCTCTCTATTGCTCCCAAACAAAGCTGAAAAATTATGAAAGAGCAAAACTGAATTTAATAACTTGTCTGCAAACGGTTCACAAGGAAAAGATAAAGGAACAGTACAAACTATCACAAACGAGTCGCAGATTAAAATTATCTGTAGTTCAGACTTGCAAATTGAGACTTAATTAAATTAATTGCCTACATTCAGGTTCAGACGGCGTGCGAACTCATGAATAACCATTTTGTCTTTGAAACGCACAGATTAAATATCTTGACAGCGTTTGATATGAGCAAAAAGTTCTTTTAACGCATCAGACACTGGCTAGTAAAAGAAGAACCTATATAGTTCCAAAATACTGGACTGTCCTGTCGATGACATTGACAGTGGGGCGCCACCGTCAATACCGGATCGCTGGTTCAGATTTTTGTCATGTTGGAAACCATATAGTTGAACGATGGTAGCGCCCCCCTGTCATTGAGTTTCGNAATTCGTGTATAGTTTGGAGTCACAGATTTACAAACAGGCACTCCGAAATATACACGAGCAGTTTCCTATGGGTGCGTTCTGGCCATGTATAGAACGGAAAGACGCGGCCTCGCGACTCAAAAATGTTTAAAGCGAGAATAAAACAAAAATAAGCCGTAATGGGTGCGACTCTGGATGGGTGTGACTCTGCAAAGTATATTATTTGTTATGGATGTGATTCTGGTTTGGTGGCATCTTGCCTAATGGCAAATCTCAAAAACTTCCCGATTAATCGGGACTTACGATGTTTACAGTTGATTTTCCAGAATATCATAAATACGAAAAAAACGTTAATAATCAATTTTGTAGACATTCCAATTTTTCACAAAAAAGTTTCAATACATTTGTAATTTTTCATTTAATTAATCTAATTTGTATCTTTATGAATAAAAACTTGGCAGTGTTAATTGTTTTGTTTGTTTTTATTATTTTATAAAATCCGTCTTCAGGTCGCCATAGAACAGGGCCTCGCGATATCTGTCTTGCCCACATCAAATTTAGTTGTTGCCCCGCCACTGGTTTTACATTAGAACTCAAATCATTTGAGTCCCACACAACACCACAATATCGACAACTAAACTCTAGTAGTATATTTTATTATATGCTTATCGCTAAGCCGATAAGTTACACGTTTTACCCAGTCGAATGAATTCTTTAATCTATGCAACTGCAGTGCTCGACTGAAACTCAAGGTTTCACCGGTCATAAGTTATGCAATATCGGCATAACGCGTTGAATGTGATTGGATGAGAGACAAATAACGTATTTAACTGGCACGTGCCGGCTTGTCACGTGTGCAGGCGATAACACGTGTAGTGCAATAATAATTGCACAACCAGCCAGCTGGCGGGCGTGAGTGAGTAACACAGTACATTTCCTATGGACCATCTTAGAACTCGAGATCAATTTAACTGCCTAATACTCAGATAAATACGTTACCTTCGAAATGGCAACCTCAATAAACGTCAATGTCAATTGCTCCGCGAAAAGAAACAAAGCAATAGAAACAAAAGTTAGTATCCATTGAAAATGTGTGGTGACCTTTACTCTGTAGCTACTGTGTAGTAGCTACACGTTAGTATATGTAGTTAGAGGCAGAAAGGCCCTCCCTCGGCGACCCGGAAGCGGCGATGCTTGGCGACAAGGTTGCATGCGCGGTCGGCGCAAGGCCGCTGCCGCCCGCCTCGCGGCTTACGTAACCTGCCCTGTGCTAAATGACGATAATACTTCAAGATTCCATCCACACGACTCTGTTACGGATTTTGATAGACAAACAAACCTTATTATAATAGCGATTTAAGTATACCATATGCCAATATGCGCGTAAAAACTTACAATATTATCTCTACGGATAACCTACAAATAAAAAGTATGAATTCACGATTTTGTCTTTAATTTTATTTTTTTACGCTGAGATTTATTAATAATATCTATTATAAAATAATAGTTAACTTTACCCACGTTATTAAATAGGGCACATTGTTTTTATTGTTCCCTTTAATGATTAAAAAGGTTTACCTAAAAAATATGTTTTTATTTTTATTAAGTACTGTATAAATTATTTTAACACCGAAATAAAACAAAACATTCCAAAATCAATTTAGTGACAGAACACATTAATATTTTGTTTACACACACACAGAGAAACTTCAAATTGTCAGTTTTGACAGCTCAAAACGCCGGCCGGCGTCCGGGAACAATACGCCGTGCGCTCAAGATGGCGCGGGGACACGCTCGCTCTCGATGCTAAACTCAACGCAAATCAAAAGCGATTTGAAACGGTCGTCTCATTAAAATCGATTTTTCTTGTATTAAAACTAGAGTAGCAACTGGAAAAACATGTCACATCTCGATTACAAGCGTTGGATAGAAAAAAGGTATTCAATATTGTTGATAATATTGTGACATGTTTTCCTAACCTCGAAGTTAGCTAACGCGTTTCCCAAGAGGCAAACTTTAACAATGCGCACTCAGCGCCTCAAGGTCGGGCCCTTCACAGTGTTTGTACTTATTAGCGATTATACTTTGCAGGCCAAAGAAGGAGGGAGAGAGCGACCATGAGGAGGAGTTCTACTACACAGAGCGCGAGGTGTCGACACCAGCGCCCCCACCCACGCTGTCCCACCGAGACATGTGCCGGCCACCGCACGAAGACCCAGAGTACCAAAGGCAACTCGTTGGCTCATTTAGGTTGGTACAATCTTTGACATTTGCGCAGACGCGCTTTTGTAATATTGAACCTTATTGACATTGGATTGACACAGTTTTGTAGCGTTTATCGATTACTTTTAGATAAACAAGTAGGTATCATTAAATCCAAAAATACTCTTTTCCAAGAAATACTTATTTGTTAATTTAATCGTGTTTCGTTTTGAACAACGCAATAATGAGAAGATTACAAGTTCACAAGAGAGGTCAAGATTATTTAAGCAGACAAATCTGTGTAAAATAACGCAGTAGAATTAATAAACTCTAGTAATAACTGATTATTGAACCGAATATTTTACCGACAAAACCAGTTAATAAAACAGATGTAATATTTTAATCTGACAAGTAGTTATACCCCAATAACTGATTGACGGTAATTTAACTGGGCTGTACTAGCTATGTACCTACGTAACTTAATTCAATTTCCCTCCGGTGCCGGTACATTTGCAAGGACAACTAACCGGCTTATGTTCCGGCCCGATCACCAGTTTCACAGTCACATAAGTACCTGCACATAGGATAGGAATATTCCGGGCTTAATATTGTTGATACACTGATATGATAGCATCGGATATTAAGATATTATTACTATGCCACTTAGAACCGGATGCGTTGTGGTTACGGTAACTGCTACGATACCTCCGAGTTAAATGTGTGACATTATTGAGGTAATGTTTTGTTTTTACAGGCAAGGATTGCTCTCAACCATGCAGAACGGGTCAGCGAGGCCTATAAGCATTCCTGTATCGCATTCCTGGTCCAACTCACATTCACCGGTAGGTACACGTTAATAAAGTGTTGTCTCTTTTGTTTAATAATTGGAGAAAGCAAACCCTAGAATATTCCGCTCTACGAAGCGGACACCCTAATACATAAGGGCCATGTATTCATATTTCTATTTATTTGTCAACAGAAGCACATGAGGCTCTCTGGTGCAAACGGGTCCCCGGGCAGCCCTGGCAGGCGGCCGCGCTCCGACAACAAAAAGTGCCGCAAAGTGTACGGCATGGACCAACGCGATCTCTGGTGCACCCAGTGCAAGTGGAAGAAGGCTTGCACGCGCTTCGGCGACTAGCGCGCGCGCCGGTTCTGCGCGCGATACACGCCGCTCAGACACTGCTACTGATGACCTCGCGGAATAGACAATCGCGAGTGCCGAACTCACCGAGTGCGAGTCGTGATTACAATAAGTTAGAATAAAAACTTTTTATTTGAAAATGTTAATTTAACACTAATATAAATCATTATATTGGATATGAATTGCGAAGGAGACATATTTTTGCTCTTCAAATGTGGCTCGTTTTGTCAGCATTGCCCACGTATTTTTGTAGCGCAGTAGATTCGCCTTTACTGTGACGTGACAGCGGAGTCGTGTGTCGCTCTCGGCTGCAGACTGTGAATATTAGCTCTAAGGATTATGTTTAAGGCTTGACTGACGCGGAACAGTCTGAAAACATTTCAAATGTCGCGAGGCGCAGATGAACTTAATACTAATTAATATACATGGTAGAGACGAGAATACCGCAATAAACGTACTTGTTACGTCACTCGCAGATTCATAATCAATCTAACTTATGCAAAAGTTTAGTCACAGGATATAATTTTCCAATATTACCATTTTCTATTAGAATAGGTAGGTACCTATATCAGTGACGACCTCACACTTCAGACCGAAATAAAGTATCATAAGTCTTTGTTTTTATTTATTGTCGTTTTGTTGTCTCCACCCTGTAAGATTAATAATCATGAAGACTATTGAGATCAGATTCATGCTGCGTATTGTAGCGATTACTATCCAAATAAACATAAATTCCAACTAGGTATAAACGTTTACTGTCAACAGTTTTATAACTACTTTCGTTTCTAAGTCTGATAAACACTTTTTCAGCCAAAAATACTATACTATCTATAGTTGTTAAATGAAAAATATTATTTTTATATTAATACCACTATTAAGTGTCTACTCTTGATATAGTCGCTACTGTAAGATGCAAGTAGGTAATATTTTTGTACACTGTCCTTGGCTTCGTTGACGCTTCAAGTAGAGAAAACTATTCCAGCATTATGAAGTCAGTATATTCCGTCCACATTTTCGAATGTGCTTTAGAAAGTGCTACGTGGTCGTGCGCATTGAAATGTTTTCACACTGTCCTCGCTGGGCGGGGAAGCGCGAGGGCTCGCTCGCTCGCTCGTCCCGCTCCCTCGCCCAGCTGATTCTCGACTCGGTAAAATATTCCAGTCGACAATACTTCAGTGATATTAATCACTTAATATGAATGTATATTGACTGAATTATTAGATAATAAATGAAACAAAACTATGTATATGAATTAATCTTTAAGAATCAATTCGACTAAAAGACTACTTAAAAGTGTAAAAGATTAGATTTAAAATTTTATGAACATATCTGTCTTTAGAAAGGGAAGACAATACTCAGCGTCGCACGCGCAGCGTTCGCAAGCCGCGGGCCACGCGCAAGCGCACTGCCGACCGCCGCGGACGAGGAAAGCGACATCTGCGCCTTTATTGCGACCGCGAGATGAGAACAACTAATACTATCCAATCGGATAGCTATTCCAAGCAACGATGTAAGTTTCTTTTGACTAGTTTGACTAAAGATTAAGCATATACCGCCAATGTCGCAAACATCTCATATTTGACTACTAACATAAAGGAGCAGAGTCGAATGCACGAGAATGGAAATTGACGGAAACATCACGGTTAAGACCCCGCGCGATCACGGAATGGATATTTGTACATATTGGACATTTCTTTATAGAAAGGTTGGGACCGACACCGGCACCTACGTCCAATACCGCCTACTGTACATGTGATATGAGAATCGGAATGTGAGACATAAAGAGTCTATGAAACAAAGTGAAGGCGATGCGAGCTGCAATATTATATTGTAAGTATTATAAAACGATGATTAAATTTGTAAATATAAATATTGTAATTATTATATCGAGGAATATATTATAAAGTTAAACTTTACAAGCAATGTGTAAAATATATATAAAACTATTATTAGTATTGTTACTTACTGAGTTAATGTGATCGTTTAAATTTATTTTGTACGGTGGCATTATTAGGATAACGTGTTTGGAAATTGAGATAGTATAAATAAAAGCAATAAACACGTTCGAATCTTGTTTGCGTTGAGCACATCACAGCGCGGTATTTCAGATCAATGTGTAAGTTACCTACTACCAACACTCGATTTCTTACGTAATACTCGTAATAAGTCGATATGAAATATTTTTAATAAATCCAAAATTCTACAAAATTACAGATTGTTAACAAAGTGCCAATCAAGATTATGACATTATTTTTAATGATTTTTATATGACTCGTTCTGTTAGAATTCCTTTTTAGGTTCTCTAGGTCGACGTGTAAAACCCTAAACCGTAGTTACTTCAAATTAATGCATCGATTTTAGTTTAAGCTGATGCTGGCCATGCTACGAGCAGAGCTTGGGCATGTGGAGTCATTAATAGTGGGCGACGTTGCTAGGTCTATAACCGGTGCTGACTCACAAGATTTATTAACGCACAACTATGTTAAATTGCACTTCTGTGACCAAACGTGAAACTAAACAGTCCGGTGCAACGACAAAATCCGAGTAGCATTGGCATAAGCATAAACGTTGATTTTAATAAAAAATGCAAGTACAGAAAGCAGTCGTAGGTTAGATTAGATCGTAAAAATCAACCAGTCAATTTACAAAGACCAAACACCTAGTTCACTGTTGTCGCGATCCCGCTAATAATGCTATCTTTATACGTAAACTAAAGAAACTGTTGGATTAGATATACCTTTATTGATAATGCTCACGGAACAGTTTCACCAAACATGTGATAAATCCGTTTACAAAATGTGATACTGTGATCAATCAAAAATATTAATACTTACTTCATAAAGAAATGCCCACATTCACGATTTATGTAATTTAGATCTCAGCCAATAAGATAATAACAGATAGATCTGACATCAATTTAAAGATTGTCCGTAACGAGAACACATTATGTTCCTACGCATAATAAAAGCTATTTTCAATAAAATATGTCTTGCGTTCTCGTCATAATTTATTTCAGAGATTGTTTTATTTTGTAGAAAGTTAGTATTTAGAAAATTCTCATACATTCAAAGTAATTTTTATCTATTAAAACCGTCAAAAATATATGCGTAGCAAAAAATTAAAGACTCTATTTTAATATGCTTCAAAGACATATTTTTGGAACCGAATTTCTTAATTATAAATTCAATATCATATATCACAACGAAAATACATCAGGAAAATATCTTGCCAAAATTCAAATTTGAAATGTTGCAGGGTGTTTATCGCGTATTATACCTCTGAAATGTTTCGGATTACACAACACTTCGAAAATATGTTTAATGTATGTATTACTTTACGTGACGTACCTGCGAATATTACCAAATATACATTTTCATTGCAATAATGGTTGTGATAAAAACATCATAAATGTTGTCATTTTAGCAAATCACTCACTTGCGTTTGAAGCAACGAAACACCGCGCTCCAAAAACCAAAATGATCACTAAAGTTAGTTTGTACGAATATCTTTAGCAACAACTCAGCTAGCGATTTGACAACTGCCATATTGTAAGGATCTAGATTTAACAACAGAATAGATTTTAATATAGGAATAGATATATTTTAAGTTGAAGTCATAATAATAGTATTTAATAGATAATATTAGATACATACAATAGTTAATTATGTTACATTTGATTAATTGTATTTCTCTATACAGTGAAGTTGAACATAATATTATGGAGCGATTTCTAATGCTTTGCTAAGACTCAAATTATTTCATGATATTGCTAGTTTTTTTTTTCAATATTAGTGTGGTCATTCCCGTTGCTCTTTCTGGTGGCTCATCCTTTGCAAAGCTTGGTAATCTTTGGCGTTATGGTATGGATTATTTTCACTGAATAGGTTAATAAATATTCGGTAATACTGTAGAATTAATGATCTTCTAGCTAATGTGTGTTGTCCAGCTCAAAACACCTAGCGTGTCTACATTTCGCCAATACACATCCGTCGAATAATGTGCAGTCTGCGCGGACGCACGGTAGTTTCATAAACGTAATAAGTATACCGATCTCAATTTATATTCGAAGCTATTAGTTACGTATTCATAAATCATAGAATTTTTCTTATTTTATGTAACTTATTTAGGACTTAGTTGAATTTTATTATTTTTAATAAAGACAATTTATTTTTTATTATTAAGCCACTTGTAAATATTTTAATTGTTAATTTATTTAGCCAAAATTTTGCTCAATTTATATGCACTCAACACCAAAGTCATAATATTAAACAAAAGTAAAATGTAAACATATCAGTACAAAAGAGCATAATTGTAAATTAATCATTTATGATCAAATTTTTCCCCGTTTTTGTTGTTCAGGATTGAGTTGAAGTTGGCTTTTAAAATTTTAGAATAAAATTGTAAAAAACAGCGTTAACGAAGAACATGTGTATTTTCGACTTACGCGCAGATCCCGCGCGATACTGGCCGCTAGTCGACCTCTAAGTCTTATTCAATATTGTGTTGTTCGGTTTCGTCTCATAATGACGCATTGATTAATTTTTATACTGAATAGTTTATCATTATTATCTTTTTAATTTAAGACACAATAATTCATATACTTAGTTTAATACACCTGCATTATTTTAGACATTACTTAGTGAAATCTTAAGGCGCATAATATATTGCGCTTTGTTCCGTACTTAGATCATAAATACATACATCATTCGTTCATTATACCATGTAAAGTATCAATGCCTTGTACAAGTTATTTACGATATCTTAATTTGTGTTTATAACAAGCATGTTATAAACTAAAATATACTGTTATGAAAATAACATCACAATAACTCAAAAGGAAGATTAGTAAATCATAAGCAATGGGACAAAGTTGTGAAATGGTTGAATATTCGTTTCAGAACAACTTTGTATTTATGTAAATTGTGCCTATCACGTTATATGTATTAGTTTCTGTGTAAATCCTTACCATGTAAATATGTAAATTCGCAATAATTAAGGTCTTTTCAAAGTGGATAATTATATTACTACTTGTAGGCGAGCCCTGCCTCGCCGCTTGTTACTCAAAGACGATCAATTTGACCGCAGAGGTAAACTTTCCCCAATATGTAAACCTTACAAATTGTGAAATTAGAAATACTTAATACTTCCTTATTTTTCACTATGTTTAGTACGTTAAAGAATAATTTGAAGTTATCGTTAGTACCTAACTAGCATGTATTTTTCTCTACATACATAAAATATAGAATTACGATACTATTGTTTCATAAATTATAATATCTTATTATCTACGAAAATGTACCATTATATAATAATTATTTAATCGTAATTTGGTTCATACGATTCGTATATTAAAATTTGTAAATAAACTGTATTAATTTTCTATCCTGTTACATATGAAACTTTATGTGGGCAATCATAGTTTATGAAAATATGTCTCCTGCTTTAGATTATATAGATCTCCTACTCACCATACAACGTGTCGGAGCACATTTGATTTTCAATCTTTCAAATTTTTGGTTGGTAAATATCGTGTTGCCTACCTTTGTTCTTTCCACGATGATCTACTCTGTGCTCCAGCAAGTTGTGTATACTGAATGGACCTTAATATTAAGTTCGTATTACTTACGGTGATATTATAAGTTTCAACGCATTGGTTTATTGCTCTCAAATAAATTTTGTCTCATTGTTGTATTACTCGTATATTCATGCATTCATGTATCTATATTGACTTGTACTGTTCTCACATGTTCCCATGTTAATTTCAATAGAGTGTATAGTGTCATAGTTGGCCCTTAGAGCCGGGATTTATCGATGCGTCATCTTTATTATGGTTACCAGTAGTTTTAAGGTTGCAAACAACATTATGATCAAATAAATGTTGTTTCGAGAATTATAAAAATATTCTTCATTAAGTACTTCATCGTTTAGTTGTCAATATCACAGCAGTTTTTACCGAGACTGTCAGCTGAATTTTTAATGAGTATTTCTGTGATTCGTAAAATAATTTTGTCGATTAAATCTCTAGTTTAGCACGCACACTCAATGATGCCCATCTTTTCAAGTACAGATCAATCAAAATCATAGTAAATGAAACTAGCTGGCAGTTACTCTACTGTGATATTAATAATTTTATTTATTATTTCTAGAATTATTATTTATATCTTAATGTTGAAAGTGACTGTGTGTTGATAAATTAGATTAGGCGATGTTATTTCATAATGTACCTAATGCTAAAGGTCCAGAATGTGTTCCAAATGATTGATTTTATGAATTATAGATATTACCTATTGAAATGTTTATGTTGATGTGTTGAATGAAAATGTTGGAGAATGTAAAACTTTTAAATAATCAAAGTTGTTAGTATTACTTATACAAAAGAAAATATCGTGAGCTTCACAAATGAATATGAAACAGCGTAATCGCACTATGCTCTCTAAGGAGTCGACGCTAAAACGTGCGCGGTTCCGATTGTTGTTGCGTGCGCCGGCGCAGATCGGGCGCGCCCCAACCCCGCCTAGTTTTAGCGTAGACCCCAAACCTAAATGTTAAAAATATAAAATGCATTTTTCGATTGAAATTTGACTGTGAGCCTGTATACCTACTCAGTAAATGTTATACGGCGAGGGATCTTTAAGAGGAAATGTTATTATTTTGTTACGTGCTACTAATATTAGTGCACTGTTTGCCTGAAATATTATACCTCAATAAGTTTAGTATGGATTTTGTGTGTCTTAAAAAATATATTTCGATTATTAGAATCACGGTGGCATTATTTTTCATTCCTTTTCAATGAACTAGTTGAATGACTAGATAAACCTGTTGTAATTGTACCCTTTAACATCATCAAATTCTACCCTGATTGAAAACAAAGTAAAATAAATCATGAAATTACCTTAAAGTACGTCAAAACAAAATATTTTATATCGTAGTTCTACATATTATAGATATAAATAAACAGAGGTGAAGTATGTTAAATGGAACAACTCTAGACCTAAATTAATTTATTTCAAAACGTGTTATTTTATTCATTGATTATATATTTACAAATATAAACTTAGATTTTAATAAATTTTGTTTCAATCACTTCAAATCCTTTTCAGTAATTATTTATACTGCTGACTACGACTACGAGTATGTACAATTGTATTAAAGAAAAATGAGTTAGGCTAGGTTCGAGTGTCAGAATCAGATTACTACAAATGAACAAAATTGCAGAGAAGAGTTTAGTAACAATTTTGAGTCAACCTGACCATGATCGATAAGATAATAATTAAGTAGTGTAAATCAGCAATAAATTCAATAAAGTTGAAGCAGTCTAATTTCCTTAAAAAATACCAAACAAAATAAAAAGCCTGATGGATGAAAAAGTTCGTATAAAACGCTACGAACTACGATACTACGACCGCGACTACCACGGACTACGATTCGTAGCAGTGTATGGTCGTAGCCGTAGATAGACACGGAAAGAGATACAACCGTAGCCATTACCGTAGCAGTCGTAGCTTATCGTAGCCAAATGTGCGTAGCAAAGGTCTGTAGAGGTCGCGTCGCGTCGTCGTCACTTGTGTAAAATGGAAAAATTTAATTTTGGAAGACGTAGGTAAGTTTATATTATAAAGCCCGGTCTGTGAGAACGTACAATTTAGTCCAATGACCCCAAGCTACCCATCCTTATCGCTCGGGCGTAATTATGTTGCTGTCGTGCTCGCACACTTACTGCGGGCGCCCGTCGCACAGTCGCGACAGCGACAAAATTCTACGTGCTCACAGACCAGACTTATAGACTTAATAAGAACCATGGGTTATCAAGACAATAATTAATTAATTAATTGAATAACGCACTGATACCCATATTCACAAACGATGCTTGCTTACATAAGTGAAGCAGCAAATCGAACGCACAAAAACGTTGAATAGAGCTCTTGATTGGTTCGTGTGTGACCGTCCACGCGCACTGTGAGACCTCATACTGATGTTTGTGAATACGGGCATTATTCTAGGACGACCCATTATTTTCAGCAGAAGGAAAAAAGAAAGTTGAGAATGAATAAAATACTATGTTAATAAGAAGGTTACGATACGGGGGTTNATTTTTTGATATTAAACATTACGGACTAAAAAAATTTTTTTAGGCAACTAGCCTATTGTCATGCATATCACAAAAATTCAATTTGTTGTCATTTGATGTCAAACATCTTTTTTTCTCACTTACGTACTCTAATGATCAAATGAACATCTCTGTATTCAAGTAGGTAAAGCACAATTTCTCTAAACGCATCATTCTAGTACTGTAAACCTGGTCGGGTAAAAACTAACTTTAAAAAATTTTAGTGGCTGTAATAAAATAGTAAATTGGTTGGCGGTTTCAATAACTGATTTTATGCATTTTTCAATTATCTGTAAGAGGTGAGTAAGTTAAAAAGCTTTTAGTGAGAGCTATTGTATTAAACTGAGCAAGCTAAATAAAATAATTGAATTTGATATCACACTTATCTTGATAGATTCAAAAATACCCAAGAGAAAACTGCAAAAATACACATTGTCAGTGTTAATTAAGCAATCGGATCTGAATTTTGAAGTGTTCCTGAAACTAATACCGTTTCGGGGCACGAACCTTGAGACACTTGAGAATAGGGAAGCCGGGGTACGTCGACAATCAACTTGATTAATTCATTTTGCCTAACCTATTCCGTCTTGAACTTGGCAATATTTGCTACAGATAGGAAGTTGGTGAATTTAACTAGAAGTAACCTCAGTTTAGGTCAGGTAATTAGTGAATTTCGCTGGCAAAAATAAACCTTTCATAAGTGCTTTTCAAAGAAATGTGTCTCTTTTAATGATGTACTTACATTTTACGGCGATATAGCGGTGGTGTAGCCACATGATTTATTAAAAGCTTTATTGCGCCCCAAAAATTGCAGTACAAAAGGCGAACTTAATGCCGCATGGCACTCTCTTCCAAGATATCTCCTCATCTCTATTGTTTGACGCGATATGACTCGTTGCAAAATCAGTAATAAACCCTATGGTTGTATTCACATAGCTACGTAGATAGCCCAAAAATTACTGCAGTAATGATATTGTCCGCGATATTATGTGAAGCACAGGTGGTCCCATTATAACCATGACACCTCTGTTAAGATTTTACGACTCTCCCTTTTGACCTGAGGCAAAATACTGCCCAATATTTTTCTGGTTGTTTAAATTTAATAGTACCTTAAACGTCGAGGGTGTGAAAACTGAAAAGCTTTGTGAAAATATGAAATTTAATATGAAAATATGTTAATCAGTGTCACATAGGGGGTTNGCTGGTTCAGATTTTTGCCATGTTGGAAACCATATAGTTGAACGATGGTAGCGCCCCCCTGTCATTGAGTTTGGCGGGACAGTTCAGCGTGGGTCATCTATAATTACGGTTTATTTTTCATTCAAATAAATTCGTTTACAAAAAAGTATATGATTCATAGACTAAAAATACAGCTTGAGTCTGATATTTTAATAATTTGTTCTAAGAAACTCATTTAACTGCTTTAAGTCCATAATGAAATAATTTTCCAATTTGATAAAATAGTTCCACACAAAGTGAATAAATTTATCACTCTCTATTTAGTAAATATTACAGAATCTTTTATGTGTATCGCCTCAAATTAAATATGAGCGCAAGTCCTTACTTCATAGTTCATATACGAATAACTCACAAATAAGGTACGCCAGCTGAATATTAATTTCGCCATAAATTGGGATTAGAACTAAAGCTACCGAAACCGAATTACGATTTACCAATGCAAAAAGGTTTCGATAATAGCAACTTTACGATCGCTAGATTTACCGTTCAAATATGCAAATATAGCCGATAGCCCTCTGTCTGGGTCCTAGGACTTTCCTGATAAGGAGAAGGATTAAAGCATAGAAGTTAACATACTATCTAGGAAGGACCTACGAAACCAAAGTCAAGCTGGACATAGACCTTCCAAATTCCAAGGATTCTTTCCAATTAGAAGCATGTTTAAGCTTTGCCGCACTTACAAGTTTAATTGAAGGTGCTCGAATATGTTATCTAACCACTGCAGTGCACTGTTAGGAACTGTGTGTATGCTTATAGGTAGACAACTATTATTATTTTTTTAAATGCACAGAATAGTGATTCAACTGTACAGTTATATTTTGTTTTTGGGCGATTTAAAATTAACTAACCGACATAATTGTAGTACAATTTTACCTGATTGTATGATAGGAGAGTTATCTTAAGATTCTAAATCTTCTGACTTTAGTCTGAATACATTTCTAAGTATTTTATTTTAATAAACTTTATGTGAATGGCTCAGCACTTCTATGCTTTTTTCTTACACAGGAGCTAGGACATGCCTCTCTGGCTGGACCATGACGACTTTATTAATATTAATGGGCGAAGGAAAGCCACTTTAAGAGCGTCTGGACAAGTCTGGAATCCAAGGAATTCTCTGGAATTCTAGATGATTTCGGTAGGATTTAGACGTTCTTTAGCGTTTGCTCTGAGATCGATGCTTTGGAAACGCTATGAATTTTTCATGAGTTCTGAGGAAACAGGATTTAAATTGCAAATATGGGAAAATATTATCATATGGGTATTAAAATTAAATATGGTAAGCGAGGATATAGGATCAACTAATTTGGGAGAGAGGATGTTACATGGCTTCTAATATTTTTATATTTGTTTGTACATAAGTTAGTAGCTTTAGCATTAGAGTGTGTGGTGATGTGTATTGTCATGGAGTAATAGAATACTCAACCCCTCGAAAACACAAATGTATTCTACTCGTATTAGAAAAATAGGTATTTCCGGATCTAAAAAAAATAATTTATTTCAAACGTCTGAAATGTATTAAATCCTTTTCATTACATATTTGTCGTTACGAAACTTTGACAATGATCCACAGTCTGTGCCCATTGCCAACCTGACATTAATGTCAAAACCACTATCACAATGCAAAACGATTTGGCCGCAAAATTTCACACAGAAAACGGCGTTCGATACGACAACCTAATACAAACTTGGGAGGGAATAGTCAAAGGAACTATGAACCTTATTTCGTACACCATTTGGCAGTTGGAAGAAAATCACAAGTTTGTTTACATGTTGCTGGCCACTCTCTTCGTGGTGTTTCTGGTGCTGGATGCTAGGAGTCCTCGCATGGAGAGGGCCGTACGAATGGAGAGAGAAGTCAAGGAACCTACAGGGAACTTGAGGATATGCCCGAGGAAAAGGTGATGACGCGTTTTGATGTTGTGGTGAAGAGGTGATGAGCCAAAGCAGCCAAGGGCTGTGAGAGTGATGAAATAATGGCATTTCAACAACCCGAGTAGTTCATCTAATGGCCCAGGTCTAAGACTTTACGAGGCATTTTAACATGATACAAACAAAAGTTGTATGTGTACACAAGAAACCTATTTCATTGGAAAATAAGATTGATACTAAGTCTATGTCCTAACTAAACTGGGCTCAAATCTAGACAACAGCAAAGAGGAGATCTATTAAACTAGTATTGATTACAATATGATGAGCTTGTAATTAATTAGTTTCAGAATAATAAACATCCAAAACATGGATAAGGCGAACGCGAACTTAGAGGACTGAAACGAGGCCATGTAAATTGAGAACGGCTACGAAATTACTGAAGTAATAAAATAGTAATAAGAGTCAACTCTGTATGTACGTATTTGTATATAATTATGTACCAAATTTCTGCTTTTTCTTTAATCCATAAAGACCTATGAAGAACAATTCGATATCGATTTAGTACAAGATATACCATCGTGCAATTCCGCATCTTTATTCAACTGAAGTTGGCGGATCGGGGGTCTATTTCGCAAACCCGTTTCGATATAGGGTGGCGTCGTTTCCATCTCTTTCATCAAAATAAATACGACACTTCAAAGAATTCGTTGTCGTCTCGTCGTTTCAGCCAAATGGCGTCCACTGCTGGCCAGAGGCCACCCCAAGGATT